TTCATCTTCTAATACACGTTGATACATCCTATTCTGGTCATCTGCCCAAAATGGAGTCTTTAAAATAAATAATAATAATGATCGTAAGTATAATTTTATTATAATTAATTGATATTTTGAAACAAAACAATTTTCAAATCTCGAAACGTAACGTTTCGCCCAGAGGAATCCTCTGAAACTAGTTTTGCCTAATTTGATTTGTAAATTGGCGAAAAAAAATATATTTTATTGATACTTACTATACCAAACATCATTTCATAAATCAAAGTTCCTAAACTCCACCAATCTACCGCAAAAGTATAATACTCTGCTCGTATTATTTCAGGAGCCTAAATATATTATATATATGCATATGAGTAAATTGATATATTTATATTTATATCTATATTTTATATTTTATATAAACCATACCAAGTATTCAGCGGTACCACAGAAAGTGTTAGTTTTTTGCCATGAATGATTAAATTGTTTTGATAACCCAAAATCAGTGAGAACAATATGTCCGTCACGACCGATAAGAATATTTTCAGGTTTCAAATCGCTAATAATATAAAACAGGTCACGTGAGCGTGGTACGTGAGAATTGGAGAGCATAGTAATCTAATAAGGCCGAATAAGGCCGAATAAGGTCGAATAAGACCGAATTAGGTCGAAAAAAATAAAAGGTGATACGAACCGATACACAATACCCAAACGATGTAACTCTTCTATACCAAGAACAATTTCAGCGGCATAGAAAAGACATCTGGCATCATCAAATCTATGCCATTTAGCTAATTGAGTAGCAATATCACCACCAGGATAATAATCCAAAACAAGAAATAATTGATTACTATCATGAAAAGATTCACGTAATCTAATAAGGAAAGGATGAGAAGTTCTGGAAGCAATCGCAAGAATATCTCGTTCAGTTCTCGTATGTTCAACCTCTTGCCGAAAAACCACCCATTCTTTGGAAATAACTTTGAGAGCATATAATCTATTTGTAGATTTTTCCCTTGATAAGATTACCTAAAAAAAAAAACAAAAAAATAAATATAAATATAAATATAAATATAAATATAAATATAAATATAAATATATACGTTATAGCAAAAATAAGTATATAATTACCTTTCCCATACAACCTCTACCAAGAACTTTTATTAAATCGTAATCATCTATAGAAGGTTTATGAGGTTTTAAAACTACATTTGTTACAGATCTATTATCTATAATACTATTTGAATTTGAAGATTTTTTCCATCTAATAGAATCTTTTTCAGATTTAACACTTAAGAAATCACGTAAAACAGCTGAAGATTTTAAATGTGAATCACTTAAAACTTTTCTTAAATAACTTTCAAGTTTTTCAGCAGTAGATTTACGAGTAAATAAATGTCGAGGTAATAAAAATGATTTTCTTCGATCATCTAACGAAGGTAGGGTAGGTCTAGATTTTGGAAATTCTTGACGAAGCTAAAAAAAGATAACCAATTAGATAAAAATAATAAAAATAATAAAAATAATAAAATGTAATAAAAATGTAATACTGTAATAATAAATAAAAATGTAATACTGTAATAAATAGTAAATGTTACATTAATCATACCTGCTGATCAAACTCTACAAAGTCAGAAATTTGTCTACGTATACTTAATAATTGACTTCGATCTTCAATTGTTATTATAAATACCTTTTTTTTTAAAAAAAAAAAAAAGAGTTAAATCATACGGTGATAATTTATAAGATTAGAGAGAAAGTTAACTAAATTAAGCTTACAGATGGAGTAGAAGATTTTTGTTTCTTTTGATTATTTGAAGAGGAAGTTTTATTACTATTATTATTAAAACTAATTAAAAATTTTTTATTTCCTTTTTTTCTAAGAGAAGAATTATTATTTCCATGTTGAGAGAGGTCATTCGGAGAGACATCAGGTACTTGATCAATTTGTGGAAGCTGAG